TTGCTTTCTCTCTTTCATTCATTCATTCTCTCTTTCTCTCTCGCTTCTGCTTCATTCTTCACTCTTGCTTTTCCGTTACAATTTCTCGCATTCTCCTACTACATGGATTCTAATCGATCTGAATCTATCTTTACCATGACTCAACCTCCTTCGGCTCAGTAGTAAAATACTACAAAATAATTACATTATATACAAGTAGTAAGCTACTTGTATTATCGTTCATGTGACGGCAAAGTAACCGCAAGATTAGGTTAATGAGTTTTCGTGACTTCATTACTACAAATTTCTTAGTCGTCATCAGATAAATCATGTTTAGATTATTGCCAGATCTATGATCGAATATCATAAATTATTATGCTGATAAAATAGACGCCAATAGACCTTTTTATTTTGCTTTTATTTCTTACATTTTTCTTTCTTCCATTCCTTTTCGTTTCCACGAAAATATTATACGTTTGCATAAAAATAAACTGCAACTGTAATTTTAGGCGGTATATGAGGTTGAGCCAGGTTGTAGATGCAGTTATCCTGATGCTAATTGATATTCGAAAGAAAGGATAAGCCAGGCCGTGCGATGATAGTGGTAGCGATCACTGTGCCTGCGAACCGAAATATGTAAATAAAGATAGACTTTTTGAAAATCTCGAGCCTCCCTTTCTGGTGAGCAACAAGAGCAATATAACGTTATTATATTTATGTAAATTTGATCTTAAATAATATTTATAATGATGCATTAATTCAAAAAACCATGTAAATCATGATTAAACTTATTCCAATTAATAACGCAACAATAATAATATATTTATTAATGTTATCACGTTTTGTTTTGAAACAATTCAGTTACTTATTTTCATAAAAAATTATAACGCATAAAAGATTACTTTGGGGTAGATATGATATCGCCAGCAATTCAAAACAATGATGAGTATTTTACAAAAACGACCTACATTGGCCAATGCCTTTATTTAAAATAAAAACGACGTTTCGGTCCTGGATTTGGACCCTTTTCAAGTGATCTGTTAATTATCCCTGATCACGTATCGTTCGTTTGGCTAATACCGCTGTTAGTAGAGTATTAGTCAAAGGAATAAAAGGGAGAAATTTTGCTTGCACTCTTTAGTTGGAGAGTGCAAAGTCAATTGAAGTTGCATTGTTAACTGTTGAAACACGAGTAAAAATGTCCCGAGATGTGTGTTGGACGAGGTAACAGATTGAACTGGTCAGGGATAATTAAGTAACAGATCACTTGAAAAGGGTCGAAATCCAGGACCGAAACGTCGTTTTTATTTTAAATAAAGGCATTGGCCAGTGTAGGTCGTTTTTGTAAAATACTCATCATTGCATAAAAGATTACTTTATAAAAGGAAAAAAAAGATACTCCAGAGGGATACTCGAGGTGAATTAGATAAAGTGCAAAAAGCATAATGCATGCAAAGTCTAGTACGCATTCAATATTCATGCAAGTCTAAATCTATGTAGAGAGCAGCCTATTTTAGCTTTTTGTGTCCGTACTATTTTTTTATCCATACTATGTTTATGATATTCATCTAATATTGGTCTTCTCAATTCTATTATGTTATGCTCTTTTCAAGTTTTTACTAGTTGATATACGTTCTGTATTGTTAGCTGCACATTAAAGTTTAACACACGATGGACAAATTTACACGGGGGGATATTTGCATGTTCATAACTTCGCAGCCTTTAGCTCATGATTGTAAATTGCGAATATCCGTGTATAAATTTGTTCTCTTAAATCTTATGATCAAACGCAAAACTTTGTAATTCTCTCGTAACAAAAAAAAGTATTAAGCAAAATAAACGGGAAACCAATAGCAATTTATTCCGGTGGCGATAGATTTTCCACGTTTCATCCCTCTTTCATTGTTTTATCGGTACCGTTACTAAGAACTCGTGTTCTCTCTCAATTGAGGATGGTTTCGGTAGCTAGTTTTCAAGCAACTTTCAAAGTGGTATCTCGCTTGACATGCAGTGATATAATGCGAACTCGGTTTTTCGGAAAGAGATATTTGTGCAAAGGCGCGCTAACTTGCCTCACCGAAATATCTTGTTCGATAAACGAGCAATAGTACGTGACTTTTACTCTGCTTTATGTGCGATATGTAGAAAAGACTCACTAAAACAACTATAGTTGCGTAATATGTATATGTATATTTTTTAAGCATATACATAGATAAGTATGTATATGGGCGAAAGGCCGTTTTGGCATTGCAAACAGCTACAGATTAATGACTGAAAGCCGAAATCGATACAGTGTTTACAACATGTTACAATGTTTCAAATTATTCCTACTTTTTTGGTACCAATCATCTAAAGATTTTTTTAGACGCTATTATTAAAAAGGTAACTCATTTTAAAGTTACCCGGAAATGCTGTCTATGTGTAGAAAAATGTTCAAATGTATATTTTGGTACAGTTGTCTTTTTTAAAATGCAAAAAATGAACACATGATTAACTTAAGACTAGAAAATATCACTCTGATTTTTTATTTTTACCTGTTTATTTAGAGAGACTTTTTGTGGATAATTAAATTAAATGACGGATGAAAAGAATTAGTGAGAAAATCGAATTTACAATCAGACACTCGTTCATTAATTCAATTCAGTTTATTTCAGTTTCCCTGTGTTTCAATATTCTACATTTTCAGGAAACTTATTCTTTTATTCCCGATAACTGTATTTTCTCTAAAGCAGGATCTCTTAACTTTGAGCCGATTTATTTTTCAATTCCATAAATTTATGAATGTATTGTTTTCTATCGTTATTTTATATTGTGATATAGTAAGCGCCGACATTACTAAAAAATTTTTTTAAATTCCTTTTACTTTATGTGCGCGAACTTTATATCGTTTAATTCAATCATCTAAAGTTTACATAATTAGCTAAAAAAACAAACTTGTATAGTAAATAAAAATATATGAAATATAATATCAGCATAGGTGGCATGTGATTTTATAATAATAACGTAATTTCAGCAAACAAGAAATTGGAAATATTAAATAAATTTTAAACATAGTTTACATAATTTTTTTCTATTTACTTATTAAGTGATGAAAAGGAAAATATAAAGTAACAGCAGAGTTAATTTGAAAATTTCAGACTAGAGTTTTTAGCGAGCTTTTAAATTAAGATAGTCGTTCTCAATTCTGAGACTTCAAGTTGTCAAGTTCAGAAATTGTTCTTGAAGCAAAAAGAACGCGGGGCATTAAAAGCGGTGCTGAGTTGAAATGCATTCGCTGCGCTTGCCCGAAGCCATCCCTGATCTCTTTTCAAATATTCTAGATTTTTTTGTAGTAGTGTCGTTTTTAGCGATGGCGTGTGTGCCTGTGTGCAGTGCGCACTTTCTTACGTGTGCATTCTGTGCAGAAAGCAAGATGGTCGAGGTGTACTTTTCTGGGCAACAACTACGATAGTATCATATTTCACTTCACTACCATGAACCACAATTTTTTGCAACATAACTAAATCTCGACAATCTCCTCTATAACCACGTGTCGAGCGGGAAAGCGAGTCTATCTTGCTCCATCAATGTTTGGTGTTCAAAAAATAAAAATTACTCCACTAGGAAGAGATGCAATCATGTTAACCGGATTAAAAATTACGTTAGAAAGATAATTGCATAAAAAGATACACAACACAATTATTTAGCGTAACATGATGTTTTATTAATCTCACAAGTACTGTAACACCAAACATCGTTTTAAATATCTCTCCTGATAAAAAACATTAAGGTAACTTTCGTTTCCTCAGTTTCTATTAATGTCTCTCGAAATTCGGTACAAGATAATCGAAATAATGCTGTACAAAGTTTTTGGTATTTCTCGCTGTTACTTATGTGGATCTATTGACATGCGTTTTACAAACATTCACACAATTATCATAATACAATCACGACTGCCATGAAGCATTTTCGTCAGTGAGAAAATCATTTTTCGTAACTAGCCAAAAAATACATTTATTCATGTAGTGGAGATAGATAACGTGTTACGTCACCATTAAACAAATACTTACCATTTTATTGATCTTATTATAACTTTTAATTATGTGTATATAAATAAAATATAATAAATATTATATTCTGTTCTATTTCTCCGTTTTTTACGCAACTCTATTTACAAAAAAAACATTGTAAGCTTTAATGCACAAGCATATATGATTCTGATATTCCATTTATACACAGCACTATTTGTCATTAATTATTAAGCAAACTTGCGATTTATTTATGGTAAATGAATAATTTTGTGGACTGAATTGGCAATGGAGAAATGGAAGATTAATAATATAACGCTCGGCTGTGATATTCCAGACAGTTTATCATTATTAACCTTTCAGAAAAAATAATCATGAGTTTGTAATATAATTTAAGAAAACGCAAGTTTTTATTTGCATACGTTATGTAATTATCGTAAACAATGCTGGTATAAATTGTTGAAATTAGCATATCGCGGTTGCTCCCGTAACCTCGCAATATCGTTAACTCAAGCCAAAATATTATACCGAATATATGCGTGTAGCTAATTATATCATGTGTGATATTGTAGCTAGTGTACTGTTTCACCCGTGCAAAATTCTTCCTAGTGAAGCGTACCATGTTCTATCGCTCGGTCTCTCGAATCATGTATCAAGTATCAAGTTTACGAGGTTTCCTAAGATCACCGACAATATGTATGTACATATATACTATGCGCACTCTTCTGCCGACACATGCCTTCGATATCCTTTTGATGTCGAATCGAGTTTCCACGTGCAACATTTACAAGCCAATACCGGCACCGACGAAATTGCTTTTGGACGTAACAGGGGCAAGATGCAAAAATATGTAAAAAGCGAAACACTCCGGTGTTAGCCAACAAACATCACACAAACAAGTACGGCGCACACTTGCACGCGTGTACAGATGGGTTAGATAAAGTAATGGTTACCTGGAACTGTTGCATCGGGTAGGCCATCATTTGTGCCGGTGGCGGTGGTGGCGGGGGTGCGGCCTGCACCCCTGGGGGTGCCGTGACCGTCGTGGCGTGGTGTGGTGGTAACTGTGGTCCCCCAGGTAATCCCTGACCCCATCCTGCCGCTGTGCCAGCAGCATGGACAGCACCCATTCCCATTCTACGTTTGTAAAAAAACACATAATTGTCAAATCGTATAATTTTGCAAGGCAGTATCCTACATAGGATTCGTGTTTCTGTTTGGTATAATATTAACGTTTCCCGTGTCACAAATATCTATTGTTAATATTTTTTGTCGGAATTAATTAACGAATTAACATATGTTTGAAAACTAGTATTATATTTTGTGTTTTCGGTTATGAGATAATTTTATTAAAAAAAATAATATACAAATTGATAAATTTCTAAAGTTAATCCATGATAAATTCGTGATACATTTATCAATATAAATCAGCATATTCTTGTATGATATAACTACAAATAATTTTATGTTCTTAATGTAAAGTTAAAATATGCAGCTTGAAGTTATTTCGATTACAAATTTCCGAATTGTTTTATGATTTATCGGTGTAGCAAAAAGATGGAGGGTATATTCATGTAACATGTAAATTTCCGGTTATTAAAACTCAGTTCTCGGGGAAGAAGAGAAACTTATCTCGCGTGAAAAGCTTACCCCATATATTGCGCCTGTTGATATCCAGCGAATTGTCCGTATGTGTATCCCTGCATGCCTTGAAGAAAGCCACCTTGCATTTGTGTCGCTGTCGTAGGATAAGATTGGGGCGGATACCAGTATCCTAGTTGTCCAGCACCGCCGACGCCACCGACGCCTCCGACACCCGCGACGCCCGCCGCCGCCGCGGCGGCAGCTGCCGCCGCCGCGTAGTATGGGTACGTCGCCGACGATAACGCCTGAAAGAGCACAAAGATCAATGAAATAGAAAAGAGCAAGAACATTGTCTGGATTTTATACTTAACGATGTCGATAGGGTCAGAAATGGTAATTTCGTTCCGTGTCGAAGATTTGTGTGGTCGTTCACTTGAAATGGGCGACGCGAGAATTTCAACGCGATCATTTCATCGCCGTCACGTAAATTATTTTTTATTATTTCGCTGTTCCTCGCGTGAACTCATTTATTCTTTTATGGCGCACAATGTGAAGTCCGATCAAATTATTCTACCGAATTATTACGAGGTAATATATATTTTGTAAAATATACAGCTTGTTCTTTGTGCGCGTGCAATTAATTTTTGTGATAACAGAAAAGTATATTTCTTTTTTGTTTTTACAATAATTTACTTGCCCCGAACATCTAATGGATAATATTTAAATAATATACTTTCTTCCGAAGCTCGTGATATCAAACGGTGAAACAGTATCAAGAGAACGATGTAATCATTGTCGGGTGGGATATTTGAGCTATCGTGATTTTTGTGATAGTTTCGCTTGCAGAAGGTTTATAAAAATAATGCGCAACTATTATACTCTTGATTAAAGCGATACGATGAACCGGGATATCGCGCAAACTAGTTCGATTCCGTTGAATACGAGAACAGGGTATGGCAGGATACGTACTAACGTGATATCTCAGCTCCCCTGGGAGAAGCGCGTTATGGGAATAGAGATCAATTAGAGCGATGTCACGGGCCGAGTAGCAGTGGATGGATGCACGGAAGTACTATCGGGGAGTGCGAGAGGGTTTGGGAAGTACTTCGGGTACCATTCCCAGATCGGGCGTACCTAGCCATCCTAACGGAGCTAATTGCTAAGAGACCCCGGCCCGACACACTTCGAAGAGAGGCACCTGAATAGACCGGAATCTTGCCCGATTCCCTGTCCTCTCTCTCTCTCTCTCTC